GCTTTGACAATGTTAAGTAAGTTGTGTGGTATTTGCAGTCTGATCTCTATTTATAAAACATACTGTGCATTCATAGTTTAGTTCTAATAATTATGAGCTAATAGAGAGTATTGAAAATCTAATGGTTAAGTAGAAATCATCTGAACTCACAGATAGGTGGCCCTCTGCCCTTTGACCTGAGTCATTAGCAGATTTCAACACCAGTGCCTAATGTATTCTGTTACATTCCATCATCCACTCAAGATAATGACAAATTTCATTTTATTTCAAATATGTAACTTGATTTTTCTCATACTACTTTGCAAATCTCTTGGAGAATTTTATTGCATTTGTTTCTATTTCTTGTTAGAAAAAATTTGTCTTTTATCACATTCCTAAAAGCATCCACTTTCCTTATCATATTACTTGTTAGATGACATAAAAGCTTCCAGGCCATAAGGACAGCTATCTTCTTCCTATTTCTTTTTATTTGTCTCCTTATTCAGTTCTATTGTTTCCAAAGGCCTTTGATTTTTTTTTTTACTCTTATATTTCTTTAGAAATAGTGTAGAAAAGATGAACTTAAGGAGGATTTATGAGAATGAGGTATCTTTTATTTCTTTGAACTCTAGGTCCTTCGTATTTCCCCATCAGAATTTTAAAGGCAGCTTTTAAAATGCAAGGTTGCAAAGAGAAGAATTTTAATGTTCATCCAATTCTTAATCTCTGATGTGCAATGTGAAAATGTTTATATTTTAAGGAATAATCAAGTATAATAGATATTTAAAATGTGGACAATTTGTAGCTTAATGTATTATCTCAAAATGGTCTCATTTTATTGGCATACTGCTCAGAATCCTCCCACTTCATGTCCCAGCCTCCATTGTCAACACTTCCTGCCCAGTTAGCAGTAACCCTTGACTTCTAACTCCATGTAATAGGTTGCTGGGTTTTGAACTTCACAGAAAACAGAAGTAAAATAATATATTTTATGACTCACTCATGTCATTCAATATTATGTTAATTAGATTAACCCACCTGTTGCTTACAGACATGATTTGCTTATTTTACTTTCTTTTGGTTTTTCTCCGGTACGGGGAATCAAACTCATGACCTTGCGCTTGCCAGGCAGGCACTGTGCCGCTGAGCTAAATCCCCAGCCCCTATTTTACTTTCTTAATAGTACTCCATGGTTAAATGTAGAGCAATTTATCCTTTCTGATGTTGGTATAAATCTGAGTTTTTTCCCTAGATTTTATTATTTTAAAATTGCTAAGAATACTTTTGTTTGCTGTACATACATTTACATTTCTAACATGTCCTCTTCTGCTCCTAGTATCATAGGGTATAACTGTATTAAATTTTAGAAAATATTACCAAACCATGTTCTAAAGAAACTGTATGAATATCATCATTACTAGAAATCTATAAGCATTCTAGTTCCTCCAAATCTTTGCCAAACTTTGGTATTATCAATGCATTTAGACTGTGGTTATTCTGACTGTCTTCTGTTTTTCACATTTTTAACTGGGTATTTGATAGGTCTGATCAAGACTTGTCAATGTTTTATTTTTATAGTTGTGCTTTTAAATTGATTTGTAAGTGCCCTTTGTATATATTGTGGATAGTAGCCTTTAGAAGGTTATATTTGTGACAACTATTTTCTTCCATTCCTGGCTTTTGTTTTATACCCTTTTAATTATACAAATAATTAAACTTAACAATCTTTTTTTGTGGATACTGTTCTTTCATTTCCTCTTCATGAAAGCATTCCCTGCATGTATGTGATGAAAACATTCCCCTGGTTATCTTCTAGAAGTTTTTTTGTTTTATCATTCACATTTTGATCTATAGTCATCTAAAATTGGTTTTTTATTTTTATATATGATATGAAGTAGAGGTCAATATTAATATTTTTTATTTTTATATCCAGTTGACTCACTATTATTTATAAAGGGTTAATTCCTTAGCCCATGGCTTATAATGCTATTTTTATCATAAATCAGGTAAATTAAGACATAAGACCTCCCAGACTATTGTGCCCCACTGTTCTATCAGTGAATCATGTCACCGTGTCACTGTTTCTTAATTTATTGTAGATTTATATTGGTGGTATAGTTAGATTTGCTAGTGAAGATGCTTCAACATTTTTCAACATAATTTTATTATTTTGATTTGTCACATTTCCATATAAATTTTAGAAGTAACTTGCCAAATTCTACAAAATAACCTGGTAGCATTTGATTTATTTTATTAAATGGATAAATACATAAGTTTGATATATAGACATTTTAAAATTGATACCTTCATAATATTGATTCTCTCTAGTCATGAAAATGGTGTGCTTAATTTTATATCTTAATTTCCTCATTTCCTAGAAATAATATCTCATAATTTTCTTTGCAAATGAACTTTACATATTTTATTAGGTTTAGGGTAAGCATTTGATTTTTTTGAAGATGTATAAATGATATCGTGCTTTTTAGATTTATTTTTATTTGCTGCTGATGTATGTGACACAGTATTTTAAGGATGATTTTATATCCAGTAACCAAACTAAATGTTAATTCTGAAAATTTTGTATAGATTTTCTACACAAACTAAACAATTAAGTCATGAAATGAATAAGTTTTATGAACTATTTTTGTGTCTAATGAGGTGAATACATGATTTTTTATATATTCCATTAATGAAATAAAATACATGAATTAATGTCTAAGAGCTTAAATAATCTTGTATTCCTGTAATAAACTTAACTTGGTAATGTATTATTTGTATATCAATATACATTATTTGCTACTTTCTATTGCAAGCAATTTTTAATATGGTGTAAAATTTTTGTATTTTTTGTTTTTATTCTAGCATTGATAAAAACAGTGCTATGAATGTAGTTTATTTTATTTATTATTTAGTTTTATTTATTTATTTTTTTCCGATACTGGGAATCAAACTCACGACCTTGCGCTTGCCAGGCAGGTGCTGTGCCACTGAGCTAAATCCCCAGCCCCCTATGAATGTAGTTTAGCAAAAGTCTTGTCTCAGAGATTTTTTCAAGAACACAAAGCTATTTTCCCCATTTTGTCTCCCCCAGCATCTGGCAGTGACCACTCCACTTTCTAAACCTATGAATCTGACTAGTTAGATAAGGCAAACAGGAGTACTTGCCCTTCAGTTACTGGCCTACGTCACTTAGCATAATATTTTCAAAATTTAACTTAATTTGTTCTTTTTGTCCTATTTCCTTGAGGTGTAAAGTTAGTTTTTTTTTTTGGGTTTTTTTTTTCTTAAAAACAAGACATTTTTCACTATGAACTTCTTAGTGTAGGCATTGTGGTGTACCCTTAATCCCAGCACTCTGGGAGACTAACACAGGAAGCTCATGAGTTGATTCCCAACCTGGGCAATTTAATCACTTAACAAGACTTTGTTTAAAAAAAAAATTAAAACAGGCTGAGTATGTAGCTCACTGCTAATGCCCTGGGTTCATTCCCCAATACCAAAACCAGTAAAAGTAGAAAAACAAGATTAAAAACTAAACTACCCTATTAATTCTTTGGCTGTAAGTTTTAGTGCCTTGTGATTTTGTTTTTGTTTGTCTCAAGGCATTTTCTTATATTTTTCTTTTTTTCTTTTTTGAACTAGAGCTTCAACCCAGAGCCTCACACATGCTAAGCACAGACTTTACTGCTGAGCTATACAGCCAGTCCCTGTCTTAAAATATTTTCTGATTCCCCTTCTAGTTTATTCTTTGCTTGTTCAACTCTGTATTATTTAATTTCCAAATACTTATTAATTTCTCAGACTTCCTCCTCTTATTAATTTCTAGTTTCTCACCATTGGCCCATAAATGCACTGGATTTCCATCTTCTTAATATGCTAAATGTGATCTGTCCTTGATAATGTGCACTGTGTGCTGGGAAAGGGACTAACTGCTGCTGTTGGGTGGACAGATCTGCCTACATCTTCTATGAGGTAAATGTGATCTAAAATATTGTTTAGGTCAGTCATTCCATTATTGATTTTTCTGTCTCGTGAGTCTACCTATTATTGAAAGTGGAATGTTTCCTTTAGGACGCTGTGCTTGCCACGCAGGTGCTGTGCCACTGAGCTACATCCCCGGACCTCCATTTTTCTTTTCTGTTCTGTTAATATTGGCTTTATATATTTAGGTAAGCTGCCATTTGGTGCATATAGTATTTGCTAATTTTAAAGGATTTTTTTTGTTTTCTCTTTGCTAATGTTTAGAAGGGTTCCAAAAATGTGTATTATTTCTTTCATATGTAAATGGAAGAATTTTCAGGTGACAATATCTTTGCCCAAATATTGTTTTTTTACTTATTAATTTTATAACGATAACATGCAGCCATGGATTTTTATTAAGAGTAGACTTTTATCAAGATTATTTTGACAACACTTGGACAGGAAGAAAGACACTTATAGTAACATAGGTAGTGATAGGGAGAACAAAAGCAACAAGAAAACTCTCATTCTCCTCAGCCAACTAAAGAAGTTTTCTGATATTAATTTTAAAAAAATTTAAAACTTTGAAGATTTTAAATTTACTTACAGTATAATGATCATAAATTAGAAATTAACAAACACTTTTTAAGTCTCTATCATTTAAAAATACTACTTTCCTGCATGCGTAGCCCCAGAGTGCTCTCCCTACGTAATCCCCAGTCTGAGAGGTGGATGGATTTCACTCTCATGATTAAGTTATGGTATATGGCAGTTCTGACTTCAAGAAAAGGAACTATCTGGATAGGTCTGACCCTCATCACTCAATCACAAATGCCCTTCACAGCAAAGAAGTCTGTCCAGATGGTCACAGAAGAGAAGTCAGAAAGAACAGAGCATGAAGGGGATTTACACCAAGGAGATTCTTTGTTGCTAAGATGGAAGGGACTACATGACAAGGACCTCAGCTGGGCCTCCCAAAACAGCACAGCCCCCTGCCACAGTTAGGAAGACAACAGGGAATTCAGTCCTATAAGCACAAAGAAATGAATACTGCCAACAACCTGTGAGCTTGGAAGAGAATCAAGACCCATGAGAGAACTGCAGGCTTCGCCAACAAATTGATTTCAGTTTGATGAGTTTCTGAGCAGCAAATCCAGCATGAACTTCTGACCTGCAAAAACTGGGACAATATATCTGTGTGGTGTTAAACTGCTAAATTAAGTTGGTAATTCATTAAGCAGTAATGGCAAACTGTATTCTCCAAAGAGAAAATCAATACTCCAATCTCCAAGATTCTGATTGTCCTAGCTGGTCTGGATTACTGTCCAAGCATTGGTATTTTCCAGCTCCCCTTTTCACAAGTGAATGAATGTTAGTTAGCTTTTGGTTAATGGGCAAAACATTTGAGAAAATCAACTTAAAGGAGGAAACAGTCATTTTGGCTTATGGTTTCAAAGGTTTCAGTCCATGACCCCCTTCCTTGGCCTGGTTGCTTTGGTGGCATACAACATCATGGTGGAAAGAAACACATGGTAGAGGAAGACTGTTCACCCATGGCAGCCACCAGGTAAACAGAGATAAAGGAGGGGTTCAGTGTCCTAAAATGCCCTCAAGGGTACCAGCCGAGTGACCAGATATCCTTCCACTGAGTCTCACCTCCTACAAGTTTCTGCACCTCCCAGTGGCAATGCAGAATGGGAATAGACATGTGCCTTCAGAGGACATTTAAGATCTGAACCATAATATTGCTTTTCCTTCTTTACTAAACTGGAATCATTTGAAAAATAAATTCCTCTAATAATTTTCTCCTTTCCACTACATCCATCTATTATGGTTTATAACTAGATGTTCCCTAAATGACTTACGCAACTCTTTGGTGGAGTTTCTGGGGTGTGATTAGATCTTGGGGGCATGATAATCTTCAGGGGATTCACCCACTGATGAGTTTACAGGGAAATGTGATTTGGGAAGTAAAGCATGGTGGGAGAAGGTGGGTCCCTGGGGTCACAGTCTGACAGGGTCTATCTCCTTCCCTCCTCCCTTGATTTCTCTCTGCTTCCTGCTGCCACTCCATGAGCTGTTTCTCCTCTAAAATTCCCCTCCACCATGCTGCCCTGCCTTAAACTCAGTGACTATGGACTGAAATCTTTTCCAACTGTGAAGAAACTAAGACTACCATCTAACAAATAGGTGTTTGTTATGGTTTGTGTCTGGATGTCCCCCCGAAAGCCTCATGCAGTCATGGGGTGGGCTTCTAGAGTTTATGACTGATTCATGGGTGTGAGTGCTACACCTGCCCTGGGGCTGGTAACTTGCATACAATGAAAGGGAGAGAAAGAGGCTACTTGCCGAGCTGCTTCTCCCCTTGTACTCTTGCTGCTTTTGCTGTTTTCTGCCACCATGAACTGTTGCCCTCTGCCATGTGCCACCCTGCCTTTAAGCCAGCTGAGTATAGACTGAAACCTCAACAAACTGTAAGCTAAATAAACCTTTCCTTCCTTAATTTTGGGAATTTGGCTACTGTGTCTCAGCAATGAGAGAAAAATAACCAAGACAGTGTTAAATATTTATTGGGTGCCAGGTGTTTGACCTTTGCTATAAGCAGATGATATACTTGCTTCCCACATGAAGTTCACAGTCTACTGTAAGAGAAAGCACATTTGTTTTCCTGCAAATACAAAAGGTTCATGTTCATAAAAATTGTCTTTCTGAAAATAAAGACTAGTTAGTGTGAGCCTGTTTTTTCTTTTTTGTTTTTTGCATTGTGGATTGAACCCAGGGCCATCACACTAAATTACATCCTGAGCCTTTTCAAAATTTTTCATTTGTTTTGGAGACAGAGTATGGATAATTCACAAGTTCCTCGGTTGCGCTTGAATTTGTGATCTTTCTGCTTCAATCTCCCAGGGTGCTGGGCTTATTGGCATGTGCCACCATACCCAGCTAGAAAATAAGGACTTGTTTCATATTGAGATTCTTATAACGTGTCTTTTATTATGAGGTGTCCTCCCAATTATTTTAATTTGAACCACAAAGCCCTCTTTGAGGAAGACAAATTTGCCCAAAATGACCTCAATCAGTACTTGTTTGCTTTGCGAGTAGAGGTCACTTGATTAATTCAAGGAAAAAAATAAGGAAACAATTTAACAGAGATTTAGTCATTATTCTTGGCAGTAAGACACCAGGCTCATGAGTGTTGGATGTCATGGTAAATAGGACTTTCAAGGATTACTTTAAAAGGGGTTGAAGAAAACAAATATTAAAGAAATCTTGTCATGAAGAAATGCAAAATGACGCTCTGATAAGAAATTCTAAAAGAGGTGTGCATGTGCAATACAGGCTTAGCTTGGGTTTGTGGCAGGAGTGTTAGGAAAAGTATTTCAGAGAAAGTATTTTTAAGTGATGAACCCGAAGATTTGTGGGTGGGAAGTGGAGTGAGGAAGTGGGCTGAGAAACAGAACGCTCTACAGTGGGCTCAGCCTGGGTCTCAGGGTGGAACCTGGGGAACTTTTATAAGTACTGGGGCAGAGATCCTGATGTGTTTGAGAAGCGTCTGCATCTCCAGGTCATCCAGTATACACTCAACAGAACAAACAGCTTGTGCAAAGGCCTTCGAGAGAGAGACTCCACAGATTCTAGCTGCTGAGAGATGACCAGGGTGAAGGAAGGCATGGCCCTTCAAAGATTTTCTGTAAATGCAGACACAGAGTGACCTGAGCTGCTACTATCCAAACTTTTTACTTGACACTGAAAGTTAATCACTAGGAAGTCACTAAAAAGACTTCACCAAAATTCAGAAGATCACCCTAGGTTAAGAAACACACACATATTAAATTCATTTTCAGGATATGTACAAGTAATCCAGAAATATATGGAAAAGGTGTTCAATATGTTTTGCCTTTAGGGAACTTGAGTTTAAAACTACACTGAGGTCCATCTCACCCCAGTCAGAATGGCTATCAACACGAACATAAAAAAACAATAAATGCTGGTGAGGATGTGGGAAAGAAAGGAACTCTCCTACACTCTTGCTGGTAATGTATATCTACTGTGAAAATTTGTATGGAAGTTCCTCAAAAAAAACAAAACTAGAGCTACCAGATGACCTAGCCATACAACTGTTGGTACATATCTGAGGGAAATGAAGTCAGCATACTACAGGGATACCAGCATCTCCATGTTTATTGCAGCTCACAGTATTGCTTACAATACTGAGATATAGAAACAGACTAGGTGCAATGGTGAATGAGTCAAACATAAAGATAAAATCATACTGTTTGCAGGAAAATGAATGGAACTGGAGATTAACAAATAAAAAAATAAGCCACGCTCAGAGAGTGAAATACCACATTTTCTCTCATATCTGTAATGTAAAAAAAAATTTTTTTTTTTGTCATACCAAGGATCGAACTCACAACCTTGTGCTTGCCAAGGAGGCACTTATGCCACTGAGCTATACCCCCAACCCCCTACGTAAAAAATTTTAAATAAATTTAAAGATGGCAAGAAAATAGAGAGAAAATACAGTATTAGAAAGGAAGAAGTGGTTTGGGGGAGAGGGAGAAAGGGAAAAGAGAGTACTGGAGAGGTACTGAACAAAGTATGTTATATGTATGTACAAAATGCCACAATGCAATTCATTATTCTGTATATTAATATGCACTAATAAAAATTAAATATCCCATACAGATGTAAAAGTCACTTAGAACATTTCCAAATGAGAGTCCAGAAAAAATATTATAAAAATATTGTGATACTTTTCTCTCACATATTTGTTCAATTACTTGTATTAGTATTACTGATTACTCTGTTAACTGATTCTGTGGTTTTGTTGAATTAGCAGTATTTTTTTTTTTTTCCGGTTTTTCTCTGGTACTGGGAACCGAACTCACAACCTTGTGCTTGCCAGGCAGGCCCTTTGCCACTGAGCTAAATCCCCAGCCCCCAGAATTAGCAGTATTAATGTAACAGTAGAATAGCTGGTAGGCTTTTACATAAACATTTTCTCAATAAAAGAAAGAAAATAATCCTTATTTTGATAACCCTCTGTCTTAGTTATTTTTCTCTCATTGCAGAGACAAAATACCTGACACCCAGAATAAAGGAAGGTAAGGTTTATTTAGCTCACAGTTTGTGGAGGTTTCAGTCCATACTCGGCTGGCTGCAAGGCAGGGTGACACACGGCACAGGACAACCGTTCATGGCGGTGGAAAACAGCAAAAGCAACAAGAGGAAAAAGGGAAGAGGAACAAGCTTCTTTTCCATCCTTATATTGTACATCGGCTATCCCGCACAATCGCATGCCCACTTCTTACACAGGCTCAGAATGAATACAAATAAAGACCCTGGATCCCTGCTGAGTCACATAGTCAATCTTCCAAACTTCTCAAACTGACACAGTGAGCAACATCCCAGAACAATAAGGCATGTCTTTTTCACCGGAGGCTATAGAACTGCTGAGTCACTTACCTAAGCCTCTTGACTCCTCAAATTGACACAATGTATCAGTCATAACACCCTCCACCCCCACCTTGCTCTGAGCTTTATTCCAGACAGAACCATGTTTCTAAATTCCATTATAATGATGGGAGAGCTCTCTTAAAAAACAAGAGGGTCTTATTTAGCAGTACAGACATTTCCTCTTTGGCATGCCCAACCATGCAGTAAACATATTTTATCAAAATAAAAATTTCACAGATCCTGGCAGGAATATGAATAGTTTTCACAATGGTAGCTTGGTTTCAGCTGAATAATTTGCATATGGCCAAAGAAATGAAGTTGCTTGATAAGGATTGTTTTATACTTAGATCCTTACAGTGTGCCCTTTATTATGGAGCATCCTTTCAGTTAGTTTAGTTTGAATCACAAAGTTTTGTTCTAAGAAGATACTGTAAATTCTCTCCAGATTATTTTGGGCACAACAAGGGCCAAATGATCAAATCTGACAGATTCATGTGGTTTACCACAGGCGCTGACCTCTCACATTCAGCTTCAGCCAGGGAGGCCCAGTCACTTCCTTCCTAACTCTGCAGGGTGTTTTCACTCCAGGCTCTCTTCCCCATTTTCAAAGTGAGTGAGATCTCTTTCTTCCTTAGCCCCACATTCACTTTTGCACTTCCTCCAGTCATCTAATCAGAGCCTCCTGGACCACCCAAATAACAGCACCACTGTGAGTCTTCAAATCCCTACCTTTTATTCTCAATACACCCACCTGTTCTAGTTCTGTTTACATAATTTTCCAATCTGTAACAAGTTATAAAACTGATTTTTTTTTTGTCTCCCACTCCTGCATGACTTGTCCCTAGTTTGTAAGCAGTTACCAACTATATTTGATTTGATTGCTAATTTATAACTGCTTTGTAGAACAGTGCATGGCACATATTTTGTGTTCTGTTTACACTTGTTAAGCTAATATATATATTAGCTTATGATAACAAGACAACAAAAATGTGCTTTAGTGGAGAATCTACTTTTTGTAGAAGAGAAAGGTCTTTCAAAATTATACAAAGCAAGTAAAATAAGAATAGACATCTCAAAAAATTATAATACATTTGATAGTAACCTATTTTCTACATAGTTGGTGATTAAATTTTACAGGATCCCAACCTTCATTGAAAATTACTCTTTGATAGATGTGACCACTAGAATAAAAGTTAAATTAGCTTTTATGAAGCATATTCCATTAAATTCCACAGGCATTTTATTTCATTAAGGCAAGTAAAACCGTGATTTGAAACCAAACTATCTCCTATCATTCTGTTAAAAATCTCTGAAAAAGGCAGTGATGTATATGTTGTATGACAAAAAGATCTGTGTGATGTTTTCCATTACAAAGCTGTGTGCATATTATATTCAAAGTGTGGAAATAACAAGTATAAATAAATATTTTTATTCTATTCCCAGTTCTTAAATTCACAACTTTATTTGTATCATACAAATGTAACTTGTGAAACAATATATTTCAGTGCAATAAAGATCGAAATATCTGCTTTGGATGTCCCATGTTTTATTCTCAGTCCCCCAGATACTTTATGGGAGCATTCTTTCCATGAAAGTGGAATAGTCACATGTGACGACCTTTCAGTGGGCTTCATGCTTAGATGCAGTTAGCATTCGTTATCAGGAAAGAGGGGATGGCAATGCTTTTCAAAGCTGAGCATGCTCCTGGAGCAACTGGAAGACCAGCTTGGCAGGCTTCACTCCTACTTATCTTGACTCAGAAGGTCTGGGAAAGATCTGGAGAACAGACATTCCTTGCAAGCTCCCAGCAGATGCCAATCAGTGCTCATGGTTCCCAGACCACTCCTGGACTAACATGGGTCAGCTGGATTCTGAGGGTGACATTTTCTTTCCTCTATCCATGGACAATTTCAGAACCACTCCATGAAATACGATCACCAAACAAGAATGAGTTATATGTCACATTAATTGATTTCCAATATGCTGTATTTGAGAAACAAATCCCAGTTGATGGCAACGTATGATGCTTTTAAGGTGCTGTAGAAGTTACTTCTGTTATTTTGTCGAGGGCTTTTCTCTCCATGTTCATCAGGGATTTGACCTTATAGTATCTTGATCTGGCTTTGATGTCACTATAGTGCTGGCCTCACAGAAGTAGTGTGAAAGATCTTTCTTCAGTTGTTTTTTTCGTGAAGATTAAGCACTGGTATTAGTTCTCTAAACATCTGATGCAATTTTCCATGGATGCCAGCAGGTTCTGAGCTTATCTATTGGGAGTTTTTTGATCACTGATCACTCTCATTATTAAGTCAGTTAAGATATTCTATTTCTATCCATGATTCAGTACATTCTACATTTCCACGAATACATCAGATTTTTTCTTGGTTATCCAATTTGTTGGCACATAATTGTTTATAAGTGTATTAGCATTCATTTTATCCCTGTGGCATTAATTGAATGCCTCCTCTTAAGAGTGGCTATTATCAAGAAATCAAATAATATCAAATGCTGCAGAAGCTACAAGGAAAGTGGATCCCTCCTACACTGTTGGAAATAAGTATGGATACTCCTCAAAAAGTTAAAAATAGAAACCCCATTGTAAACAACTATTCCCCTTCTAGTTATCTTCCAGAAAGAGTTAAAGACAACATATTACAGTGATACATGCATACCTATGTTTATAGCAGCACCGTGTGTTAATTTCCACCTATTGTTACATTTTCAATTTTCCTGATGATACTGATTTCTAGTTTCGTTGCACAACAGTCATAAAAGATACCTATCATGTCAGCTTTTTGCAATTTGTTGGGCTGTTCATTACTCAAGTGAGCTCTGTCCTGTAGCATACTCTGTGGGAACTAGAGAAGAGTGTGTATTCTGCCGATGCTGAGTGGAACGTTCTGTCTGTGTCTATTAGACCCATTTGTCTAAAGTGCTGTCCAAACATTGTGTCTTCATATTGATTTTCAGTCTGGATAGCCTTTCCAGTATTGAAAGGGTGTTATTGTACTTCCACCTACAATTGCATTGGTAGCTACTTCTCCCTTCAGTTCTGTCGATTTTTACTTTAAATATTTTGGTGCTCTGATGCTGGGTTTATCTATATACTTATAATTGTTATGTTTTTATGTTAAATTGACCATTTTATTATTATATAATCTCTTCCTTTGTTTCTTGCAATGGCTCTTGACATTATTCATTTTTCACTTAGAGGTCCCACACAATCTAAATGTGAATAAATCATTGAGATTATTATTTCAAAATTGAGAAAAGTTTGCCAGCACTGATACCCCCTACTATCAATTCCTTGAACACGTAATTCAGACAAAGCTGAAGCTGGCCTCATCCATTCCCCTTTCTCTCTTTTCTCTTCCTCTCTTACTTGTCCCCTCCTACGGGTAACTACATAGGTTGAGTAAGTATTATTTTATCATTCATATTTATATCACTGAGTAATCACTTTTCTGTCTGGGTGCTTTCTCTCATTTTCATAAATAGACTTTCATACATCCTTCCTCAATTTGTTTCCCATGACTTAGCATTTCACTTTGAAGATTTATATCTTGTACTAGCTGTAGCTCCAGTTCTACTGTGTTCATGGCAGCACTGTTACCTGTTCTGTGACTTGATCAAAATTTTTACTCCCTCTTCATGGACATTTAAGGTCTTTCCAATTTTACTCACAATTATTAACAACAGCACAACCCCCAAACCTATACTTGTCTCCATATACATATGGATCAGAGATTTTATGGATAGGATTGCAGGATCATAACATACGATTTTTTCATGATGTCTGAGAAGCCAGATGGATTTAATAGTTATAATTAACAGCATTGTCTTATCCACATCTTTACCCTTATAATAGTGTAACCTCCCAACCCACACACCCACACATATGCTCTGCTTTTGTTTGTGGCCATGCAACCTGCTCTGGCTCATTAGAAGTTAGTAAATGTGATGCAAGCAGAGGATTTAAAAGTGATTCTTCATTTCTGTTTGCTTCTCATGTGATTAAACTTACTTTTGCATCTTTGACACTGCAAGAAGAATATGCCTATCCTGTTGAAAGAGTATAATAGATATATATGAGAGACACAAAAGGCAGAGTCTGGGTGTCTCAGTAGCCATCCTAGACCAGTGTTCAACCAGCCAAAACCCAACCACAGGAGTTATATGAGCTTTTTAGGCTTGTCTAGCAGACTACAGATGCTTGAATGAGCCTATTAGCAGCAATAAATGATTCATGTTTTAAGTCATTATATTTGGGGATGATTTGTTCTGCAGTACTATTGTATGTGAAAGATAACTGACACATCTGATATTGCTATTTCTCCTAAGAGGCTGAATCAATTTATACTCCACCAACAACCACAGTTGTTTGCCAATCAAATGTCTACATTAATAAGATGGCTATGTGGCTATATCATACTATGGCTCTAATTATATGCCCATAATTAATAGTGAACATAATCACATTTTATATCTTTTTGGCCATCCAGCCCCTTGCATTTTTTACTATTCTTTGCCTCAGCATTTATTAACAATAGCTGAAACTGTTCCAAGACATTTAAAAAATTACTTTATGATAAAAGTATGCAACTGTGATTAGTGGGAATAATTCTCCCAAAGTAAGACACATCCAATCATGCTCAGTTATTCTCACTCACAATAGGCTGGTTTTGTTGTTTTTGTAGAAGGCA